CTGTACAAGGTGCAAATATTTCAAGTTTGTAGCTTTAAAATGACTACTTGCACATCTCCATACGATTTTTCTACAATTTATGGTGATTTTTACAAAACTGCCTATCATTTCAAACAACAATCCGGACCAGTCTGTGATTATGGACTTTTTCACCCAAGTTAGAGGTCATTAAAAATTGTGATAAAAATTATGAGCAAACTAGACACATTTTGTGAACTCTCAGAATTTATGGATCTAGTTTTCGACTTCGTATAATTTTTCTATGATTTTTCCAAAACAGGGCAGAATTGCTAAATTTTGCCAACAGCATGTAAATATCATAACACTTTGTATTATGTTGAGCAAAGTGTATAATCATAAGTTCTAATATTTGAATGTGTTTCCTTGCTAGTTTATCATTATGAACTGAAACTAAGTCATTCATATTAATATTATTCATTCATTTAGAACACGTATTATGTAACTATAAAAGTATAGTTTGATAAATTCACAACACTAATACATTTCCATAAAAGAATTCATACATATTATATACATTTTAGATGAACTATAATAGGTATAGTTTATGATACATCACTCAACACACTTATACAAAAAGGGGTACAAATACAAAGTGCCGGGTCTCTATACAAAAAGGGGTACAAATACAAAGTGCCGGGTCTCTATACAAAAAGGGGTACAAATACAAAGTGCCGGGTCTCTATACAAAAAGGGGTACAAATACAAAGTGCCGGGTCTCTATAAAGAAAGGGGGTACCGATACAAAGTACCAGGTTCACTTAAGTTAGTTATTATGATATTAAAACTATATTGCATCTAGAACTGTTAGACTTCAACTATAATCGCTGAGCGTACATGTTTGAGTCCTATAAGAATTTGTCTCGATTGGCCTAGAATTAGTGATGCCTGCCTCATCTCCTGTTCCTTGTTTGGTTGTGGACCTAGGGCAGACCCACCATATTCAACGTTTTATCTAATTTAAGCCTTATATAACTTATATACGTTGGACGATTATAGAGGAACTCTAAGGGTCATTCTAGGGTTCATTAATGCATCATATAGGAATATTTCTATTCACACTTAACTAAGAAAATATTGGATTTTCTGGAAATCAAACTATATCGATTTTACAAGGAAAACGGTTTCTACTTCAAACAAAACTCTTATGAACTCACCAACTTAATTGTTGACACTTTTAAAACTACTTGTATTCTCAGGAAATCAGTGAAACAGGAAAACTTCATCGCTTTGAGGATGGGACGTTAAACCGTCAACAATTTATTTTGTCATCATAATGTAATTGCTTTTGAAACATATAAACATATACTTTGGTGTAACTTTTGCAATTATATATATGGTGGTTGTTTTTACTTTGAGCACTATTATACACGTTGTTGTGATACTGTACATGAAGTCCTCCACCCCCAGACGTTTTCGCCATCCTTGGTTTGGGGGTGTGACAGTCTCCTTAAGGCCCAAAGCCTTACACCATCGACTTTTGGACCACGACCCAGCAATGGCAGGAAACAAGATGTTACAAATAATCCTGATAATTACATAGAAAATTATAGGTGGATGATGGATGCTTACTATTTAGATGAAAATTATTGGTGTATTTTCTTCCTAAACACTGTATCCAGAGTAGCGTGATTATGGTACACAAGTTTGTTGGTAGAAAGTCTACACAAATTCAATCAACTCTGAGAGGAATTTGTCGTCACTTGATACAACAAAGAAGGTACACGATGGACGCACACGCCATCCTAGGATCCAGAAAATGGGACGATGAATGTATTAGTGATTTTATGCATCGATTCAACAGAGCCAAACTAAACACCTCGGAGAAAACCGACAACATGGTAATAGCTACTTTACATACAGATTGTGACCAATATAACTATTTAAAAAGTTAGTAGGGAGAGAACCATCTTCCAGAAAAGAAATGATGGAAAGAGTTCACCGATACATGAAGCAGGAAAATGCAGCGTTCGGAATAATCAATACCAACAAAGGAGATAAACCAACAAGAGTTCCCTACACTAGATGAAATAAATGCACGTGAAACAACAAGGAACGAAACAAGCTTGCTTAAGTCGCTATCCACGACTAATCGCGACATGATAGCGAATTGTCATGATTCTCAGAACAAGGTAGCGTTAATAAGCGAAAGCAAGTAAAGCACACCAAAACATAATGGAGAAAAAATTGGGAACAAAGATCAACGAAGATACTGTGATTTCCACGAGTTCACATGACGTGACACCATCAAGTGCACCATGTTATGAAGAGAACTAGAAAACAAGATGCAGTTAAGACAACTTACTGACCTAATCAAGAGCCTTCGATCTAAGCATCTGGAAAGCATCACACCAAAAGAGCCGATAATACTGAACTCGAGGAAAAATGAAATAGTCATGCTGCGAAAAATGCACCAATGGAAGTTAACAAATGAATGAGAAAACTACACTTTCACATTTGACGAGTGGGATTATAGTCATGACCACTACAGAGGAGTCGAACCAATCGTCATCGGTGACTTAATAGGAAGGAAACAAGCACTTATTTAGACAACTACCTAGGCACATGCATATAAAAGTGGAACCAGTAGATAATTACTTAATAAACTTTTCCGGTCATAACATATGGCCAGAAGGAGCAATCACATTGCCATTAACCCTTATCAATTATTATAAAGGGAAAAATAATACAAAACTCAGACACTTCGTTATCTTAAATGCATTATAACCATACAAAGTCCTCTTTAGAAGAATGATAATGCATAAATTCAAGGCCATAACATCAACAATACACATAGCGGTCAAGTTCCAAACAATGTCAGGCATCGGTACGATATACACCAAATGGAGATCGGGACTAGAAAGAAAACTGGAGGATGAAAAGAGCATGAAGAACAGCTTGAGCAGATTCGAGGTCCATAAAGGTAGCAAGAAGGCCTCAGAAAAAGATGGAAAGAACGCCAATCAAAACAAATTTGAAAACAGTAAAAAATGATCTGAAGAAGGAATAGAAGAAAATGAGTGCTTAAAGGAAGCATTACAATTGCTGACAGAAAAAGCATCATTGATCACAATCGAAGACAGTGCATCAATAATTGTTAACCAAATTAAATGTACAATAAGCACCATGCCAGTTACTGCACAGGAAGTGAAACAGGGGTCAGGGAAGTAATAAGAAGTGGTGGGAATATGCGAAAAAATAAAAAGTTACACACGTATTACAGAGGAAAGACTACACGAGACGATAGACACAAAGGAATGGAAAAGACAACCCAAGAAAGGTAAAATAGTCTAAAAAAACAAGAGTACGACGAACCTATCAGGTGACAAGGAACTTGAACAACATATACAAAGCAAGCAGGACGGAGAAAACTCGTCAACTAGCATAAGCTAAAGTTAAAAAGAGATCACCAACAAAGTTGCCAAAAGCGGGGTAGGGGGTATAGATAGCTAGAACGGAAAGTAGAAAAGAAACAAGACCCATAACTAACCCTTGATGAAGGCTAGAAGGCAGAGGATGGGTATACCAGGTTGGCTAGGAAAAAGGCATCAACCTATCAAAAGTGCGTTGTAGGAAACATGGTGAAAGTCGTTATCGTCGTTTCACGATAAATAAAAATGAATGCCATTATGAAAAACCAATAATATATTTATTCTTTTTTAAAAAATGTAGCTTAGTCATTTATCTACATATTTCTAAAGGTCGAACTTCAAAATTACGACCTAGGCTACCTGCTTAGCGCAATAATATCTTTATTCGTTTTAAACATCGTAGCTCGATCAACTAAATACATCTCTCTAAAGGTCGAAGTTCAAAACTCCGATCTTGGCTACCTACGTAGCCCAATAATATCTTTATTCTTTTTAAATAATGTAGCTCAGTCAGCCTACTACATCTTTCTAAAGGTCGAAGTTCAAAAGTCTGACCTAGTCTACCTAATTAGCCCAAGAATATCTTTATTCTTTTTAAACAATGTATCTCGGTCAGCCGACTACATCTCTCTAAAGGTCAAAATTTAAAACTCTGACCTAGGTTACCTGTTTAGCCTAAGAATAGCTTTATTCTTTTTAAACAATGTAGCTCAGTCAGCCGACTATATCTCTCTAAAGGTCGACGTTCAAAACTCTGATCGAGCCTACCTGCTTAGCCCAAGAATATCTTTATTTATTTAAACAATGTTGCTTGGTCATCTAACTACATCTTTCTAAAGGTTGAGGTTGAAAACTCCAACCTAAGCTACCTACTTAGCCTAAAAATATATTTATTCTTATTGAATAATGTAGCTTGGTCAGCCGACAGTATATTTCTAAAGGTTAAAGTTTAAAATTTTGACCTAGGCTACCTAATCAGCCCAAGAATATCTTTATTCTCTTTTAAATAATGTAGCTCGGTCAGTCGAATACATCTTTCTAAAGGTCGAATCTCAACCCGCTGACCTAGGTTACCTGATTACCAAGAGAATATCCTCATTCTTCCTAAATAATGTAGCTTGGTCAGCCAACTACATTTTTCTAGAGATTGAAGCCAAAAACCCCAATCGAGACTACCTGCTTAGACTAAAAGCTTACGTCTTTCCATAGACAAATAAGGCACGACACATAAGTCATGAAAAAAAAAAGAAAAGGGTCATAGTTGATACCCTTTCAAAATATTAGTTCCTCCTGAAAAATAGCAAGAAGGTCAAGCAAACAATATAGAACCAACCCCAAACGGAACCACATACCTAGGACATATATGAAAAAAAACATTACCAAGCAAGCTACACAAGAATAATGGTCATAAAAATACACGACTAAAACACTACCAATTGGTTACAATAAGATTTAACACAAGGAAAAATCATATTCAAACAACATTACAAAGAAACATGAAGCATAAATATCCAGAGTCAGAAACTCCAACTTCAAATAATGATAAACTGACATAACCAAATTGTACGATTCATAGAAACAAGAGGAATTATAAGCAACACCACCCATCATTCAAGACCCACCAACACCCGCACCACCACCATGACATATAGACACCCTGTTGTTAGTTGGTCCTACTAATGCACATAACCGCTCAATATTTGATAAAGTAAAACCAAATTCAACCAAGTAATCACCACAAAATAAAGTAGAGAATGATTCCTCCATCTTCTGTGCACGAGTTGGATCATATAACGGAATTTCAGTCTTGCTCAATCCCAAGTTATGCTCTGTATTCATCATCTCACAACCAGTTCTCTTGCCAAAATCAACACAAATACTTTGAAGATCACGATTAGCATAAAAAAAGGATGACTCAGCAATGAGCTTATCCACAAACTTTGCGATTCCACACGATAACACCCAATACATATCCTCACCGGCTTTGTGTAACCTGCTCTCCATTCCAACTACAATTTCCTATAAATCTGTGTTTCAGAGAGAAGAGTCATTCAAATCAACCTTTAACTTTTGAACACCATGCTCGAACATTGCTACTTTGTCCACCAAACCAAGTTTTTCCAATTCAAGGGATGCCACCATATCCTTTTGCATCAAAACTTCATCGTGATAACCAACCAACTTATTCTCCAAAACAACCTTGTCATTTTGCAGTATGGACAATTCGCCCCTTACCTTGTCCATCTTGACTTGAGAAACCATATCAACACCATGAAAGACCTTCTCTAACTTAACAAACCATCCACAAGCTTCATATACTGGTCATGAAACGATTTTACATTATGGAAGCACCACTAGAAAAAACTACAAATGGTTTTACAAGCTCCTACATCTTCTTAAATTCATCATGAAGGCCACGATCTTCTTGATGCATGGTCTCATTTTCGTCGAGCCATGAGATAACTTCTTGACCTAGAACCATGTTCTCAGCAAGTTTAATCTTGAACATATCTTGGATATGCTCTCTGCGACCTTGGATAACATTTGAGTGGGTACCAGGAGAGGAAATTTTTTCAAAAAAGGAAATAGAAACCTTAGGATCCATTAAACTTTTCTCTCGCCTATATTCCGACGATGGAGCATAAATAGGACCAGACATATGAGGGAAATTAGCATCATGAGGAGGACTGTTTGCGTTTAATTGAGCAATATATGTAGAAGGACGACCAATACCGAGGCTACTAGAAAAAGAAGAGAAATCCCCAGGATCCTAGGAACAAGACCTCTTGAGAACTCTATCACACTACCCCTTTCACCGCTAGAAAGAATAGCTGCTAAATCGGCCGAGGCAATGGAACCTCTCCCTCTCTTATGAAAAACTAATGGTTGCTCACCACCCCCATCACCATTATCATCATTGGAAACAACCACATGGCCAGTCAAAACAAGTGGAGTACAATTACTAGTCGTATCATCGTAGCGGTCATGGACCCTAACTGAGGATTCAAAATCTCTCTTCTCATCCTCTTGTGTGTTACTACCATTACTACCACTATAAGTAAAACTATCATCAATAAGAGGAAGGTCAAAGTCATCAAAGCCACGATCGCGTGCTGCAATCTTACCCTCTAAAAAATTAGACAAAAGGAATGGTCTCCATCTAAACAAATTAACATAAGATGAGTACACATAAGGAAAGAAAGAGGGAGCAATATTTATGAAAGAAAAATACTTGGACCATGGAAAAACAAAGTGGGAACAACGCCAAGGCACAACTAATACAAAATCATGCCAACCTGACCTAACACATCTTCATGAAAATTCTTCATCATTACATTGAAATAAGAAATCTTATCTATATTCTGACCCAAATCACTAGTCCTATCAGGCTTTTGATCATCAATCATACCAGGAAGATGAAATTCATTCCAATAAAAGAAGCAAGAAGCATTCAACCAGATGAAGTTATTTTTCTAATTTTTTATGGATTTGAGAAGACCCTCAATAAAACTCTGTCCCCTAGACCAAAAATAGTACCATGCCCCATTACTACAAATATGAAAAAGGTACTGGAATAAAACAACGGTGGGTACGACCAAAGAGGCATGCCAAAGAAACTGAAAGTAGATAACCTTGAAAATAGAATTAGGTTTTAACTTACAAGTATTAATTTTCTACACTTCAATAATCGACCCAAAGAATAGGGAGGAAGGCACATGAAGACCATCTTTAAAATAGCAGAGATAGATACCAACTTTACCTAGTGAGGGACGATCGATCACGACATCTAGACTAGGAAGAGAAACACCGTCCCCGTCAACAAGATGATACTTAGTAGAAACATGTTCAAGGAGTTCACGATTATCGAAAGAATGGATGATGAGCATAACAGAGCGAGAAATTTTCTTCCAAAATAAACGAGGTTTCAAGAAAGAGAAAGAAAAAAGAGAATAAGGAAAGAAAAAAGGAATAATAAAAACAACTGTCAAAGATGTGATAAGCATTTATGATAAGAGAAATGGGAAACCCAACTACTACAAAAACGCTCAAGTGCCTATGGACAATATCTAGGCACGTGAGACCAGACAACATGTAATCGCTAAACTCGGAGGATTTTGAAAGACAATAATTATTTTAGCCCAATTATTATAAATCAGCTATACTTTATAACAATTAGGCTGGGGGCTTAATAGGGTATGGGCTCAAGCCTACATAGTACCAGGCCATCAAATGTACTTTGCCCAGTTAAATAGCTACAAGTGTAGGAATGATACCAAGCATGTCGGATAACAATCACCATACTCCCGTACACACCCTATGAAGCATCCACAAGAAACATGGAAATGACAAGACTATTTTAATAAAAAGGAGCTTTACCCCAATGACCTACGGACCAATGCAAAACCCAAAAGAAGGGATCATGAATTGGTCTGAGCCTTGATTACAAAGCAAGGCCCTGTCTAAACCAAAGGAGGAAAGCCTTAACTCTTCACAATTCTAGCAAGTTCAACATCCATTACCCATATATGACTTCTAACTTAGGCATTAGAGTGAAATATCGGGGTTCAACCTTCGGTAAAACTTTCTAACTTAGATTTTTCAACTTCATGCAACGTATTGCAAGGGGTTCATATTGGAAGAAGCTCGTATACGGTTAACCACACATGTATCCGGGAAACCACATAGCAACAACATTAAATTATATTAACCACTCAATATATTTTGAGTGGTCAATAAAAAAATAAGTTATGAACTCCAATAGTAAAAAATTATGAACCCAAATGGTAATAAATGGTCAATAAACATAAATTAATAATAATAAGCTATAATATAAAAGTTACCCAATTCTTAGTACCCCTTCCCTTACATGATTTATGTGTTTTTATGTTGCAATTTTTAACAGCTTTCCAAGTTATTATGCCTATTCCTTGGTGTGCATTATCATTTTCAGGATCTTCAGTTTCTTATTCGAGACGCCCTTTATAAACAAGTATATGTTTTGTAACATACTATTTCGAGAAGTTTCTTATTTCGGGATTGCAGGCACTAAATTAATCAAGAAAAAGCCTTGGGATTCAAAGGAATGAGCTTTACACCATATTGGATGATGATAATGTTGGATAAGTGATAAAATCCTTCGATTTGTGCTTGGAAGAAAAAGAGTAAAATGGGAAAAGTAATATTCCAGGATTCTTGCATGGATTATGGCTTTAGTTTGACATGTATTAATACAAAAGTAATTAGATATGGTTGTGGGCCTCGTCAATACCTTTCCATGAATATAAAAAATGCCTAAAACAAATTTGAAACAAAAAGGTATGCCTATTTGAAGTTGTAGTGAAATTGGGTGAAAACCCATTCTCATGAGGTGATAAGTAACTCTGACGATGTCAGAGTCCTCATGAGGTGAGAATATATTCTCACTACATGAGAACTGTGCAACCCAAAGCCAACATAAATTTTAGGGATTTCATGGTATTTAACGGTAAGGACTCATGTTTCAAGGTATTTTCTTAGCCTCATCATATTTGGAACCTCTTAGGACAAACCCTAGCCTCCATTTTCAAGATTTGAGCCTCCCCTCTACACTCTCATCCATTTTTAGAGTTTTTAGTGGTTTTGGAGCAATGTTTTCATGCAAGATTATTCCTTGAAGCTTGGCAATTGAAGATCTCTATTTTCATCTACCTTTTAGACCTTTGTAAGTTATAAAGTTCCAAGATTTATATCATTTCATCTTTGGATCTAAGTGTATTTGGTGTTTTGGTCCATTTTAATGAGTTTTAAATGAGATTTGGGAATCAAGTTTGCAACCTTATTACTCTCTAAGGTCCCAAGAACATTGTATGTTTCCGGTCTTGACTCAAACACCTTTTGGTCAGTTCAGAATGTTTTCTTGAACCTATTAGTCTTGGAAAGTCATGATTTTTTCCCTTCCCTTGTAGCCATACTAGTTATCTCGGTCCTTTAGGCCATTTTGATGTATTAAAGTTCAGATCTTGAATAATTGTGGCATTATTATGCATAGGTTAGAAACTTTATCCTTCTAAACATCATGTTGATCTAGATCTGAAGGTTGGAGACTTTAACTTAATGGCTTAATTTAAGAAAGATGCATTTTGGGTCCTTTTCAGACTTAAAGTTAAGATTGTGGTGGTTTCAACCTTCCTAATGGATAAAGTTTAAAACTTTATCCATTAAGACCTTAGCAAGGATCAGATCTGAGCTTTGAAGCTCTTGGGATTGAAAGAAAATGGATTAAGCTCGTTGGAGCCGTTCAGACTAGTCCCCACAGTAAGGCCTTAGGTTTCCACAGCGTGATGACTATGGATTTATTGGTTGTTTTGGCATTTTTTTTGCCCACGACGTGGCCAAGGAAGGCTGCTGATTAGCAATTTTGACTATGATTTTGACCGTTAACCTTTTTAACCAGTTTGAATTTTCGTCAAACTTGGTTAGAGTTGAGTATTTGATTAAGGATTGGTCTTAGTTTGGTTTTAAGAAGTTTGGGTTGGCTGTCCCGATGCTGAGGTAGATATTGGGTTTCTGTAGAATAGTAATGTGAGTTTTCCTCATTGTACTTGGGGGTTAAAGGCACCAATGCCGACCCACTAGGTTATGTATCCTGGTATATAGGATGTTTCTATGTTATAATGATCTGTTAGATCTGCATGATTATATGTTTGCTGGTTATATGTTTATTGATAGTATATATTAACATAATATGGTTGGGTTGAGGCAACACTGCTATGTGTGAAAGTCAACAAACCTGAGAGTAAGCCAGACTTATGTTGTTGGCTCGAGAGCAAGATAAACATAAGCAGAGGGCCAGAAAGGCAAGCCAAACTTATGTTGTGGACCTGATAACAATCCATACATGATTTGTGGGCCAAATAGGCAACCCATACTCGTTTTATAGGTTATGGGTAATCCAATCCAATGGCTGTGGATCCAATATGCATGTTGTTATATGTTGTGCGATGATATTTTGGAGAAACTCACTAAGCTTTGTGCTTAAAATTTGATTTCATGGATTCAGGTACATCAGATGATCGAGGCAAGGCGAAGGCCTGATTGTTCACATCATCATTGGATATTTTGTTGATTGAGGATTTCGGGATATTCTGATTTTGACTATGTTTTTGTATGGTTTACGGATTATCAAAGGGTTTTAATTTTTTTGGGATGTTACAATTTGGTATCAGAACCCTGGTTTGAGTGAAATGGATGAGTATTCGTGTGAATCCAGACTCAAAAGTAAGGACCTGTAACAGTTTTCATTTTTTTTTCAAAATTGTTCTCAAAGGTAAATAATGAAGGATGAAATGTGTACGATTAGTCGGAGCAAGAACGTATGCCCCAAGATACCCGCACTGTTATTTTCTTATAATGATTGTAATATACTTACATGCTAGTTTGTAGGCTAAGGATCCTCAGGACTTGCATGATATAATTGCTTGATGTGTGTGGTGCATGATAGCCTAGGAGAATTTCTTGTATGTTAGATGGAATTGACATCATTACTGTAATTGCATAGTGTGTGAACCATAGTTGTACATAACTAAGATTTTATATCCTAAGAATGTTTGATTTGGCCTTATTTCTTATTCCTTGTCTGGTTGTGGGCTTAGGGTAGAATCAAGTATTCGACTGTCTATAGAATCCAACGTTATGTATGATTAGCATGCATAAGTGGCTGTAGGGTTGGTGGAAGTTCCATGAGCATGTGTGGTGGTAGCAGAAAAACTTGAGGGATTATTATCCACTCTTGAGAGAGTAGATAGTGTATCCTAGATGCTTGGGCCTAGTGGTCATGAATTGCGTGAAAGGTTCTGCCTAATTTTTTTGGTGTCTTAGTGCCAGTCAGTTTCACTACTCGAATGCTACGTGCTTAGTGCTTTGTAGGACTTATATTGATGTGAGTTAACTATTAGATGAATATGTTAAGCTACATGCTATAAAGGTTAAATAATTTTAGAATGATTGATTCAGACCTATTGCATAGCTCTCGTCTGAGTATAACCGTTGTAGGGTTGGGTCTTTTAGTCAAAAAATTATTTAAGTTTTGTTACATGTAATTGTATTCATGAAGTAGTTAGCTGATATAAATGGGGGTTTTTCAGTAGCTGATGGAATGGTGAGGTGGGGACCCTAGGAGAGCCTAGGAAGTGCTTTAGTGTAGGTGCTACACTGCTTAGCGGGTATTGGGAGTATTATTATGTGTAAGTGACTTAGAGCACTTGGGATGATTCTTGAGGAAAGTATTGATATGTGTGGGAGGTAGTATTAGGACGATACTACTGGAAGCACAAGATCCATACTCGAATCAAGGAAAAAATTAAGGATTCTAAGGAACTGGTTAGGGGTAGATAGCATGGTTTGGTACCATGATTCGTGACAGTGTTTCCGTATATATTAATCTTTTGGTTATGGTTGTTTAGGATGAGGATGGGTTTGGTGATTGTTTGGGACTCAGTGGCCATGTCAATTTGGGTTTGAATCGTAAAGACTTGGGTGAGTTAGTTGATCTTGTGGTCTAGAAGGCCTTACTCAAGGCAGTGCCAATTGAGTTTTAGGACTCAAGAAAGAAATGATTGTTATGATCACCTCAGGATTGTAGTCGGAGGTTGAGTGGTTGCAAATGGATTGGAATGTCACTATCAACGACGAGGGTTATGTTCTTCCAACTTTTCATGTTCAGAGGAAATAGAGAGAGTGCAGACATGTGATTTTTAGAGTTAGGATGTAGACCCAACATGGGGCTAGATAGTTGTGGTTTTTGGCAGCAAGTATGACAGTATGGGAATGCAAAAGAGGATTCTTGTGGTACGGTTGCCTTTAGATGAGATCAAGTGTTTTATTTCTTTGAATGTAGCCAGGTCAGGTG